CGTCCCCAGGACACAGGCAGCAGCGCTCGGCGCTCACACCCGCGCGAAGGTCACTCGTTTATCTCAATCCCAACCATAAACTGGGAACGAGGTGTCCTGGGAGGGTCTCACACCTGTGGGTCACCCACCCCAAGCTGGGGTGGTGGCACCTAGCAGAGCAGGGAACCCCCCCCAAGGGGCAGGAGAGGGTGAGCTCAGCATCCTCCTCCTCCCCCCCCTCACCCACCAGCCCAGCCCCCAGAGGGCCAGGAAATGCTTTACAAAGGGAGGGACTTTTAACAAAAATAAATAAAACTAGAACAAAGGTGTTTCTGCAAAATGAAAAATAAATATTGGACCTTCCCACGGAGCAGGCGTGGGGATGGGGGCACTGAGAGGGGCCTGTGGGGACCCTGAGCACCCCTGGGCTGCCCCGGGCTCACAGGGACAAGGATGGGATAGGGATGAGGATAAGGATGGGATGGGGATGAGGATGGGATGGGGACAGTGACAGGGATGTAGCCCCTGCCCCAAAACTGTCCATGGCTGCCCCAGCTCCCACAGCTGCCCCCCAGGAGCTGTGCTCCAGGGCAGGGCTGGATTCCCAACACTCCTTCCCCATGGGATGCTCCAGACTTTCCCACACCCTCCCCAGGCACCAGCTCCCACGGAGACCCCAGCACAGGGAATTGGTGTAGGGACAGGGCAGGGCACAGCCAAGGCACACAGCAGGGAACCGGCATCACCCCGGGGGCTGAGCTGCAGTGGGGAGGTTCCTGGGCATCCCCCCACCCACGGGCTCACCCAAAGCCCCAACGGTGCTGGTTGGTTCCCAGCTCCCTCGGGGACACCCGGGTGGCCACAGCCCAACTGAGCTGAGTTAATCATTGCCAGGGCCGAAACCAGCCGGGGTGGGCAGGGCCGGGTGTCCCCGAGCAGAGGGGACAGGACCCAGCCCAGGTGCTGCTGGGCTCCTGGCACCCGGCCCATCTGATCCCACCCTGTTTGTCTTTCAGGGAGCTTGAGACCAGTTGGCCCCATCTGGCACCCAAACCTGGCGGTGCCAGGGAATGGGACCAGCTGGGAGAAAAAAACCCAACATGGCACATAAAGGGGGTGACAGGGAGGGACCTGCGAGCACCGGGCACAGCCTCCCACCCAGGCTCATATCACTGCAGCCCCGAGCTGCAAACATGGCAGGACTGGGCACCAGGGTGGCAGGGGCTGGGCAGAAAGAGGCTCCTGGCATAAAAGGGAATGGCACATGGCACCAGTTCGGCACAGCCCCAGAGCCAGGAGCAGCCCCGGGGTCCCCTGTGCTCCCCCCAGCTCATCCTGACCCAGGGCTGCCTCTGCCATGCTCAGCCCCATCGATAAGAGAGAAGCAGAGCAGGATGCTTGGGGGAAAGACCCCCCCCCCAACCCTGGGGACACCCCAGCAGCCCCCAGACCACGCTGGGACTCACCCACTCCTCCACATTGGGACCCTCCTGGACCACTGGCACCTTATCCCAGTAGATGTTGTGTTTCCCGTATTTCCAGATCTTGCTCCGCGTCTTGTGAGCGAAGAAGCAGATGAGGCAGAGCAGGAGGACGATGAGGAACCCACAGACGATGGCTACGGCCTGGATGGGCAGAGGGGGGCGCTCTCAGGCTGGGGGGTCTGCAGGGATGTAAACACCCCCATCCCGAGGGTGTAGGTACCCCACACCTCCCCGGACTGAGCAGGAACTGCTCCCCTCATCCCAAAATCCTTCTGATGTTGGAGCCCACGCCATGGGGCAGGGCCCCCTGTGCCCAGGCAGCCGTGCTGGAGCCCAGTAGGGGGTCAAGAGCTTTTGGGGTCAGCTCAAGCAATTTGGGGGGGGGGGTATTTTCCCAAGGGGACAGGACAAATTTGAGGCTGGGGGTGCAAGCAGGGAGCTGGCACCCTCAGGCAACTCTGCAGCACCCCCAGCCCCCTGCTGCCCGGGGGTCCTGGACTGCGCAGCCAGACCCCTGCCCCGCCGGTGCCCCAGATCCCTGTGGCCACACGGAAATCGGGGCTGAGTGAGGACGGATGAGACCGAGCTTGGGCTTGGTAGGGAGCATGAGCAGCGCGGGGGCTCCCCCCGCGCCGGGCACAGGAATGTGGCACGGCCGGCAGGGCGGGATGGGACCCGGCAGCACCGGTCCCGGCCCGTGAGCCGCGCGGGGTCCCTGCCGGCCCCACCGAAACCGACCGACCTTGTTTGGAAGGTTCTCGCTGCCCCACTGACCCGCCGGGCTCCCGGGCAGCACCGTGGGTCCTTGGGCAGAGCTGGCACCCTGACCCTGCACCCACAGCCTGCCCCAGCCTCGTTCAGGTCCTTTTACAACCGGGAAGAACAAAGTACCAGATACCGGGGCTGTACCGGGACGGCACCTCATCCCCTCCCCGAAACTCCCCGGTTCCTCCCGGCTCCTCCCGCGGGAGCCGGGCTGGGATCCGGCACCGGATCCAACCCCTGCCCTCACAGCTGGGAAATGCTGACCAATCCCACCGAAACGAAGGGAAAACTGGGGCCTCATCCCAAGGGCAGGATGCGGTGGCTGTTCCTTCCCCTCCCGCCCTCAGCATCGCATTGCAAGAAGAGCAAAGTGTTCACAGGGTCAGTTTGGCTCAAAGAATGGGTGTGTGTGTCTCCAGAGCTGGGGTGCACCCTCACCTCCTGGGGGTCCACGGTGCAGTAGTGGTAGAGGTACTGGTTGATGTAGGTGCTGCCGCTGTAGATCTGGTTGCACATGGCCAGCATGGGGTTGTAGTAGTAGCTGCCAGTCATCTGCGCCTGGGGGTTGACGCCCACGACGTAGACGATGGAGGCGATGAGCATGAGCAGGGCCAGCACAGCACACGCCACCAGCACCACCAGGTAGAAGCGG